GAATGTCTTTCACGGTGAAATAACTCGGCAGCACCACCTAGCGGACGTCTCTAAAATTAAAGTGTTTCTCTAGGTAAGACGACTCGTAATCCTTTCACGTATACCGCTCTACTATTCTACTATTTTAGCTGATTAAAAATTCTGTACACAGCGAGATACATATATAGTGACATAGCGTGAGGTTTTAGCAAGTTGTTGCTGAACGACCTTAACCAGTTGATTCGATATCGATCGGCGGATCCCTGGACAGCCTAGCATCTGAAACCCGTGAAACTTGATCGACGAGTGAGTAGAGCAGTTCGCAACTTTATTATGCAATCTGGTAATTCAAACAATCCACAGTTGTCGCTTTTCTTCAGTCCGGTTACGCGGGGAAACGATCGTGTTTCTTGGGTGCACGCGATAAGAAAAAGCGACGTTGTCGAACCGGATACGGATTAGAAGAAAAGACTCGGTGAACCTGATGGCAATTACCACTGGTTAAAGAGCATAGAGACATTCGCCTTGCCTGCGATCCTACGTTCCACGATTACGAAAGCTGTTGGGGACGAGCAGCTTCTTAGATGGGCTTGTTCCTTGAGAAGCATAGGCATAGATGAACGGATCGTCCGGTTCGAACTGCGCTGACCTACATGTGGTTCGTGAACTGCTGCACAACAACTATCCTGACCCACATGACCGCGAACGTGTTAACTTGATCACTTGTTGCAAACGGAACTAATGTTTCCTTGGCGGCGAAAACGCGGAAGAGAAGTTGAAATATCCGTGTCTGCGATACGGAGCAGAAAAGAAACCAGCGTTTCACGTTTATTCTTATTTCGTTCGTTCCGTTTTAGGAGATGGTTCGAAGATTGACGACGAAGCGTCACGACGCGTGGTAGATACCAGGTGGGAAGAAGATAAGTGACGAGAGAAGGAAGGAGCAGAAAAGGTTAGCCAAGGGCGACTGCTCGATTGGGAAACGTGATTAACGAGCAATTAGAGACTGCGGTGTCAATCGCTAAAATTAACCCTTGCTCCGAGTGGACCAGATTGCCTGTTAACAAACGGCAGAGTGACTCGATCTCGTCGGACTAATCAGTTCATGGCCATTAGCCTGAGAAGTCGAAGCAACGCAGAGTCACCGTGTTCGATAATGCATACCCGTGCAGTGTCAGGCCGCTGCTCTAGTCCATGAAAAGTTACACGTTAGTGCAATCTTCTCTTCCGTTCGATCGATACTCCATCCCGTGTAACTTGGACACCTTATCTCGTTAGTCGGGAAATGCGAAAGAGAGTTTTCCGAAAGACAGCCACTCGGGCGAGACATGTCTCGCGACAATTGCGCGCGACAGCCTTTCGATACTCGTCGAAAGCTTAAATTCGAGCTATTAGAGCTCAGTCGAAGGTCAGTCTTCCGCGCGAATAAATATGGAAAGTGAATCAAGTACGGCTGGAGGAAACGAGTTGCCGAGATGCGCTTACGCAATACCTTTTATTACCAACTAGCTCGAGGTTGTGTACCGCTCAGAAAACCCATTTCCCTCGAGCTTAACCAGGCTACCAGCAGCTCGTTGCATCTTCCTCCTGCTAAATCGAATATCTTCTCTAGGATGTACGCGAATGTAGAACTGGCAACCTTTGATCAGCTGATTGTTCGCGTTCACTCTATAAACGAAGTAGGACGGCTTGCTCGTTTCCCGTAATTGATGTTCAAAAATCAGATTTAATCGCGCTCGAATTAATAAACGCCCACCGCCAGAGCCGAGCACCGTGAACGAGATCGCGCAGAATGCGACCAGCGGCAGAGTTTTTTGGTCTAGAAACGAAGTGGCACGAGGCTCGCGGAAGCCTCTCTCGTAGGTCGTTCCTCGACCGTACAGTCTTCCATTATCGGCTACGTTCCCGATATCGATAACGTAACAACTACGGATCATTTTATGTTTATTATGTCCGACTATCTGTATGATTCACTGGTACGTGGCCGTATGTAGCCAGCGACTGTCAGTTTCTCGCGATGTCCCGGTTCAGGAACTCGTGTACGCGGCCTTTCATTCATCCAATCGTCTCGTTTGGCAAGATCACGCTCTTTGACACGATCTCCAATCTCAGTCCTTCGTAAACATGTGTCAGAGTAGTTCGTAAGACCGGAATTGCTCGTATAAACTACACGGTCCTGCACGCTTCTCGATCTCGGCTTTGCTGCGCACTAACAAAGTTATACGGTACCAAGAAGGAGCACGTGACGCTGCATGCAGTTGTCATTCAATCGTCATCTAATCATCATCTAATCGTCATCCTCGTCCATCTCGAGCAGCCATCGAGAGAGGTCTGTCAGACCGTTCCCTCCTTGACGTCATCGGTTGCGATTTCGATAGACCGACTGGAGCGTTTAGCAGGCGGAAAGGGAGCGGTTACGCGGCGTTTGTTCCTGCATCTCGATTAAGGTTGGTCTAGAGGCGGGAAGATTGCGACATCGCAGCGACCGACACGTCGCGACGCGACGTGGCGCATCCAGGTGCAACTGGTTACAGTCAGGAGAGCATGACCGGTCTGTGCGAATAACTGTACCAGATTTTTTGTGCACTCCAACTTCTCGTTTTGTCAAGAGACCTAATCAAACCGTGCGAAATTTTCCCACCTGGTGCACGCGCTTGCTTAGCAAACTCTCTGGATGGACCTGTCCATTTTCTTTTTCCGCTAGATCCCTTCCACTCCTCGAATGTCTCGTAGATAATTGCCTCGCCGCGTAGTTTTACTTTCCAAGGCTGTTCGAAAAGCTTGGTCCTCCGGTGATCAAACACGTTAGTGATTCAGCGATCTCTAGCATGCTCCTTAAAAATCCTTCCCTCCATGTTTCTGGCGGTGAGTCACGCTGAAATGGATTGAGCAACCGATTAGTCACTTAAACATCCGATTTTGTGGATGCCGTAGTTGTTCGCTCGACCGCGAGTTTATTTTCAGAGATAGATAAAACGCATCGGCTCGTCCCGGCAGATAAGAGTCCGCTTTTCGAGCGTGGTCGATTAAAAAAAAATGTAATAAAAGCGGTGGGAATAATTTATCAGGCCGGACATGTCCATTGTTGTCCGTGAAGTCTCGCGTTGTCGATTAAAAAGCTCGTGCTCTAAATCAATCTCTTCGTGTTGGTCGAGTAGGAACGTTCGGGCGGCACTCTGTCCACGTCGGCGCCTGATATTTCCGCGTATCCACGTGACTAATGGACCATTGTCCTGACAAGTACTATGAGAGGGCACCGAGTCAAACTTCAGTGACAGTGGTTCCACGAGGTGCGCGAAACATTGCAGACAATTTAAATAATTATCAAAGACAACGTGATTTTTCCACGGAACCCTTAGTATTATCATAATTTATCGTTAATTTGCTGCTAACTCGTACAGGAGGAGATGGAGCAGCAAGAGGAAGAAAACATGTCCGAGTAATTCCAACGGATCTTTTGCTCTGACGTGTAGAGATGAGATAAAGATTACGATGGAAGAGTGAATGGGAAAGATTTTCCTCGATAGGTTAGCTCATCGATGATCCTACGCGACCATTTGGCATTTCCCAACGATACAACCGCAATTACGATTACGCATTCATTCGATCAACTGATGTTCCCGTATGCTCTCTGTTTCAGGTACACGCAGATGACGCGATGACGCTGCATTGGTGGATGCACTGGTTCTGGGTTACCGCTCAATTTCTCGGTGCGTTCTAAATAATCGCTAGAATCAAGGACATCTGGTACTTTTTCACACCTTTCACGCGATGTCGAATTCGAATGATCAGTTCAACTTGCGCAAAAGCTCGGGTTAAATTTGAATTCGAGTAGTAATTAAGGTCGAGCCAACATGGAACGCGTACGCGTAGAAATGCGATAGATGTTCTAAAATGCAAGTAACGAGGCTGACCTACCTTTCGATTTTACGGAGAAATTTGTAAGATGCGGCGATAAATCGAGCACACGTCTGACTTTGGTTTGATTTTCAGTGATCTTAGGGAACCCAGTGCCGTCGAGTACGGCCGAGCCGCGTGGGCAGGTGCAGGATCACCTGAACTCAGAACCGACATCCGAAATCACCTCTATCGAGACAGAAAGACCCGAAACGCGACAAAGCTTCCGCGTAGCCAAAGCTATCGGTCTTCATCCTCCTACGAACACGGCTGTAATCTTGGACAGGCAATCGAGTACGATTTCAACTTCCATGGAGGTCGAGACGAGTGCAGTGGAGACCAGTACGAACCCCTTGGAGGAGTACCATGGAAACGCGAGCAATGCGGTCAGTCTGGACTCGATGAAAAGTTTCACGCCGCAACGGATCACAGATAGCGTAGACAGGATTCGCAATCCAGCGACGAAGAAGGACAGCAAGATCACCTGGATCCTAACGACGAACAAGACAGGCGGCAGGTCGAAGTACGAACAGGAAGAGAAAGTCGATGAAAATGGGAATCGGAACACCAGCATAGACGAAGTGGAGGATCTCACGGTGCTACCTCTTCAGGAAGAGGTGTCTAGAATCAGGCTGGTACTGAATAAAACGAAATCCTCCTTTCTATCTTCTTCTTCCTCTTCCTCCTCTCTGTCATCGCCTGCTGACAGTGCCGATATCAGGATGTTCAATCGATCCGACGACGTCGTCATCAATGAGAAGTTTATCGAGCCACAATTATTCGCAACAGCTGCATCGATCCTCGAAGGTAACCAGACTTTCTTAGCTTTGAAATCTATCCTGAAAGAAATTTGAAATTAATTCGTTTGTACATCTTGCAGTTGGAGTGAGCGAATCCACGCGATTGAGCAGAGCGCGAAGTACATTTCCCAAAGATTTCCAAAGGGATCAAGTACAGGAAGATCATCTTTCTGATTACAATGGAAGCAATAGCGAGAACTCGAAGCAGGAGAGCGCTTCGAGATCGACAGTAGACATTGCCGCTATTACCGGAAGCTGCTTAGCGACTGTAGTTTTACTCAGCACAATGGGTAGCCTTGGATTCATTATGTACAGGTAATTAACGCGTTGCGAATATACTTAGTTACTTGACGGCCAAAAAGTCTTCGAACATTATGCAAAAAGAAATCGTGTTACAGGCGTAGGTACCTGAATCCGCCGCAGACATTAAATAGTGACAAATGCAGTAATCCCGATAGTTCCGGTTATATCGATGATTCTACGATTCGTGTAAGTATTCAAATATTCTGGACTAATCAGAATTGTCGAGTCATGTTCTAATTATCTGTAATCTTCGAACAATCTTGGTCTGTTATTTCAAGATAGATTAATTTAGATAACGAGACTAGTCGAAGAGATAGATTTGTTGTATTAGGATACGAGATAGCTATCGAAATGACGTTTGATTTTATATATAAATATATATATATATATATATATATATTTGCAGGATAATTCCGAAGAAATGTACAGCTTGGATAATGATTCGTTTTTAAATTCATTAGAAGCGATGACAATACAAAATTATTGGACGGACAGCGTAAAGCATACGAAGCTATGACAAAAGAAGATAATTCAACCCGGAAAGAGAATCGAAACGTTCAGTATTTCCGATGGCGAAGCACACGAGCAAATATCGTTGTTGGAACAGTAGTACTTACTCGATAAGTGCCCGGCATTTTTCAATCGAACGGAAGGAAGTGAATTTACCATAGTAGTCATAGACAGGCAGAAACGTTATTTTTCTCCAGTTGAACGCAATCGCTAGTGATTCTAATACAAAAATGAGCGAATAAAATATTTTAAATGTTCCCGAAGGTTTTTTAGGTATAAACTTCGTCGATCTTACAGTTTCTTAAATAAGGCTAACGATACATCAAAATTGCAGGATTTGCGCGCATTCCTGTTATACATTAAGCACACGTTGGAATTTATGAATATTATCATGTATGATGTATAACGCGATATATCACGCACATGCCTGAATTTTGATTTTGTCACACGCATTGTTCCCTCTATTTTTCTATCGTGAATATTATAATTGGCAGTGGTCAAGTTTAAAAAAGACAGCGATATCGTAATTTCCATCGGACTGCAGTGATCGAATAGTGCAATAAAATGTTAAAATATATATACCAAATATATACATATATATTAGGTATGCGAAACATAATTTAATGAAACTGAATTCCTACGAATTGTCGGTAAACTACTCGTACTATGATGAATACTTCCGTACTAATTGTACTGTTTGATTTCAATTTCTACAATTGTACTTACGTATATAGTTTTAATTTAAGATCCAACTTCAAGATTACAGTCTTCGAATTTTAATTCAATAAAAATAAGGATATACGATTCTAATAAAATAATAGGAATCAACCTCGGCTCGCTTGCACACACGATTAGCTTCAAATATTTTCAAGATAGGATCGGGCTAATAAAGGATCGGACCAAATACATACCGTAGTTTATAGCTTTATGCCTTTATAACATATCCAGCAAGTGGAAGTAAGGAGATTTCATTCGTGTTTTCCACTACACTTCTAGCTTGTACATATGTACATGTACATGTACTATACAATAATTACGAATATATCTATATGTATAGATGTGCGAATTTCGTGATGATTTCACGAAACCTTCGAATTACGATTTACGTTTTAGTAGAAGTTAGCATTTGTTTGTTCAAATATATTTCTATATGAACTGCGCGTGAAGGAGAAAAAGAATTTATTGTGATAGATCATAGAGTTTAATAAATGTATTGAAATTATCACTAATTCATTTTATGGTGATGATTATGAGTAAATCTACACATACATTATTATTATTACTATTACTATTACTATTATTATTATTATTATTATTATTATTATTGTCATCATCATCATCATCATCATCATCATCATCATCATCATCATCATATCATCATCATCATCATCATCTTTATTATTATTACTGTTATTATCATTATTATTATTAATTTATTAATTAATTGACTTCCTCTTTTTGTTATAAAGTAAGATAAATAAATATTATTGTAATATTGTCTATGCTCTTGTTGATTCAACCTCTTATCGTCAGATGGCGCGTTTCTACTTTCATCTACTTTCACAATGAATGTACTGTTAGAATTATTAACGGTAGTGTTGTAATTTGTTTGATCACGTTGCTCATATTTTTGAATTAGCAATATGTCAAAATGATATCTATATGTCGGTATTAATGATATATCGATAAACTTGAATATTTAAAGAGTATATCGTAAAAAATGAAATAACAAAACAAGTTCATGAACTGCATACATATTTGCATTTACGCGTTGTATACGACGCGCCATAATTTGTGCTTAATTCCAAATATTAAAAAATAAATAATATTAAAGACATTTTAACAAAAATTTACAAAGATGCAGTGGCCATCATTTACTCTTATATTAACGAAAATATTTTTACTTTACGTTATTTATATAATTTACAATTTATCTCTGTTATTTGTAACACCATCCTGTGACAAAAGCCAACGATGTTTAACGTCCTATTTAAGTAAAAAACCTCAATTGCAACTGCAAGTTTATAGTTCTGTCAACAAATATCCTAATCAATATCAAGAGTTAGATTTTGTATATGCTAATGAAAATTTTAATTATACACACCCAAGTAGCTAGTGAGTATATATTTTATATTATTGGAAACATATGTCTGTGTTATTTTATATTGAAATATTATCATGGTTTTCTTTCAGTCCCCTAACTTTGAATATTCGACGCAAAACAAGAAATAATGGAACATTGTTTCTTCATATTATAGTTGCACCAAGCTCTAGGAAGTTTGACAAAAGTATCATTAATATAGGAAAGGTACATATGATAAATGATAAATTATATATTTCCATTTTATGCTTATTTAATATAATATATTATAGGATCCATATGTGTCTTACATTGTTATCAAAATGACACAATATACAATTCCTAAAGCAGAAACATTTAATTTATTGGGTGAAAAGAATAACGCTCTTAGAAACAAGCAAAGCTTAATAGATCCAATAGCACATATTAAGAGCCATGTAACATTTACAATAATGACAAATGATATTAGTTTACCTATGCATAATATACCTATGGAACTAATAAATCAACTGAAGTATGTTAATAATATTTATGTATTAATGAACTGTAATATAATGGCTATTATACATTGAAGATAAAATCAATCTTTATTATTTCAGAATTATACATGGCAGAACATTTTTACCTATAGTTAATTATGATTTCCTGCAAACCAGACATTCTAATTTAATGCAAATCATGCCTCATAATAATACAATTAATATTACATTGCAATATTCTCCAATTTCTATTGGAAAGTTAAGATTGCTATTGCACGTTGAAGTTACTTTGCCAAAATTGAAAAGTCTTGGATTTTCTGATAAAGATGTGGATGAAATAAAAGCAATTTTTGCAGATATTAATATATATATTTTAGGAGGGACCTTTTTCATTGCCACTATTCATGTATGTAAACTAAAGACTAACTAAAACATAGTTTGAAATATAATCCAACATAATGATATTTCATCTTGCTACAGCTATTGTTTGACTTTCTTGCCTTTAAAAATGATATAAGTTACTGGAGAAGAAAAGATAATCTTGTGGGTCTTAGTAAATGGACTGTAGTATGGCGGGGATTCAGTCAAACTATAGTATTTCTTTACTTATTGGATAATGGTTCATCTTTGCTTGTTCTTATCCCTACTGGAATTGGATCTATTATTGAGGTAATCATTTTTGTCATGTATTAAACATTTGTTTTTTTGTAAACATATTTGTATCCTTCTTAATAGATGTGGAAATTGAAGAAAGTGTTAAAACTTAGGCTTAAAAATAATAATATTAAAAATGTGGCTGAAGTTAGAACAAGAGAGTTTGATGCAGAGAGTATGCATTACTTAAGCTACTTGTTGTATCCTCTTGTTATTGGTGGTGCAATTTATTCCTTACTTTTTATTCCTCACAAAAGGTAAATGATTATATCTAAATTTATTCATAATTAACGCAAATACTTACATCCATAACATTTTCATTTCCAGCTGGTATTCGTGGACCTTAAATTCATTAGTACCTGGAGTCTATGCTTTTGGATTTTTATTCATGCTTCCTCAACTTTTTGTAAATTACAAATTAAAATCTGTGGCACATTTACCATGGAGAACGTTCATGTATAAAGCATTTAATACATTTATAGACGATGTTTTCGTATTTATTATCGATACTCCAGCTGCATACAGAGTAGCTTGCTTCAGAGATGATGCAGTTTTTCTTATTTATCTTTATCAAAGATGGTGAGTCATGAACTTTTATTCAATGTTTCGTACTTTACTTTAACAAATGTTACTTTTAGGCTGTATCCAGTAGACAGATCTCGTCTAGATGTTGACGTTATTACAGAAGAAGCTGTTGATTTTGGAAAGTCAAATAAAATGGATTAAAACGTATTTGTTGTCCTTTTAATATCATTTTTACTGTTTCAGTAATATATAATAACTTGAACGCCTAATTGTTATAGTTTTCATACTATGTTCAGAAATGTGTTACTCTTGTTATGTATTTTTATTCCTTAAAAAATTTGAGGTATAAGCATATTTCATTATGATATATTAACAAGATAGTAACATTGTTAAAAGTAGAGTGAACAATATTTTATTTTGGCTCTTATAAACTATAAATATATATATTATTCTGAACATAAAAATATGATTCTCAATGAAATCTTACAAATATATCGGTATTATATTGTTAATTTTTTACATTTGATATCAAACAGCATTATTCAATATATTAGTTACAGATAACATTAAAATTGGTAAACAACCAATTTTGAATGCTGTAAGTAAGACAATTCATTATGCGTAATTTTGATTAATTTATTATATATAATCTATAATAATTCAAAATTAACAGTTTTTAGATTAACATTTAAATGATGTTAAAACGATGCGTATATACTGATGTTATGCAATTATTTATCAAGGTCATTTTTAAAACCTGTTATATCACTTAGCTTCTTGTCTGGATAGCAATTCAGTCCTATTAAGCATAATCAGCATTGTGCTCAGAGATGTCTGATATCTGCAGTTTATTAAATTCTTCTTTATATTATTTGAAACTAAGATAACGTATTTACGCATAAAATACGCAGATGACAAGCATATGAAAAATTGATTAAAAAAACTATTAGTGACTGTGGAATTGTATCTTTATAAGTTATATTTAGAAAATCATATTCAAAATTTATCAATTGTACTACTGATAAGTAATCAATCAACATTATTTGAAATACTGATACCGAAAAAATCTGATACAGATAAAAAGTTTTTATTAAATTTCGTGTATTTAATTATTACACCGGTAGTTTGCATTGATATAACGTTTCTATCAATATTAAATAAGTCATTCGTTAAAAATATTATATATTTCAAAATGATAAATATTTCACTTGTTATTAAAATTTTATTTTCTGTCTTTCTACCATTGTGCCTATACTTTTGGATAAACAAAGCAATTAAAAAGTATAGCACATCATGTTTAGAATTGAAACAAAATATTCCAAGTAAGTAGGAATTACTTTTATCATTTTATGTAATTAAAACAATCACATGCATATATTATTATTAAAAATTATTTTTAGATATCCATTTCTTACTAAAATATTGGTGGGCAAAGTATTATATTAATAGGATGAAGAAAAGAGAAATATATTTACATACCAATAAAAAAGAACACTTAGAAAATTTAGAAATCAAAGATAAAGATGTAAGTACTTTTTGTTTTATTAAGTTAAGAATTAAAATCAAATTTAATAATTGATTTTTATTTATAATTAGAGTGCCAACAGCATATCTTTTTATGGTACAGATCAGAAAGGAAATTCTTTGTTAATCAAGTTTTCTCACAGAGCATTCAAACTAGCAGAAGTTTCAATGCAACTTACTACATCTGATGGTCAATTATATGTTTCACCTGGTATAAGAATGTTTATCATAAATATTCTTCCTCTTCCTTGTTAATCAGGGATATAAAATAATTTTTAACTTTTTCATAGCCTATCCCAATACCACCCTGATACCTAATTTAAATCAGATGTGGACAGCAGGTGGTCTTAAAATTGAGTGTTTAAAATTCCAAAAACGTTGGAGAATAGTTTACAATGGCATGCTTAGGAACTTAACTCAGAGTGGTAAATGTAGTGATCATAATGTTGAACATATTCGTTTAAATTTTATGTAAGGGATACTGTCAATTAATTAACAATTAAATTGATTAAGTTTTGAAAGCTATGTTAATAATTCTTTTTAATTAGATTTATTGCATCTTCTCAACCATCCAGATGGCCAGAAGATTGGAGTACAGCATTACATGCAGAAGCATTAGCTTGTGAACCATGGAAGAATCCTGAATGGATAAATAAAATGTATTAACTAAGCATAAGAAAATACTATTGTAAATTACTACTTTATTTAGATAAAATATATATTGTTCGTGTTTACAGAAAGTTACTGAAGTATACAGGTTTTGATCAATGGGGATCTATGCTAGGTCAAGTGATATACAAAAATGGACATGTTTCTACAATGTATTTGCGTGGACTTCATCAACATCGTTGGGGAAAACATGAATCTCACGAGTTTTACGAATCAGTTACCTTATTTGGTGTAATGTTATATGGAGCCATGTTTCATCTTAATATGAGTAATACAAAACATAGTTTTCCACAGTAAGTGAACAAGTGTTTATATAACAATTAAGACTGGTCTGTTGAATAAAAACTTCTAATTTCAGAATACAGTTTGGTCAATACAGATCTAATAATGAAAGAACATGTGAGATTAGCAAAATAGGACTTAAATTATCTGATTTTAAGCAAGAAAAGTTTAATAATAATTTGAGGTACAATACATGGTTCATAGGTAAGTCAGAGTTGGTATAAAAAGTTTATGCTATAGAGTCTGTAAATAATAATTGTGCATTATACTTTAGCTGATAATAAAGAATATAATATTCTTGTAAAACCTAATAATTCAATAGTACTACATTATGGTCAACCATGTGATCTATTAAACAAAATTATTACTGTGAAGTTGGAGATGAATGGTAAATCAGGTATTGGATTAATACAATTATGGTCCCCTTATACTCTTCCAGTATGTAAAACAAAAACACATACAGAGTTATCATTATTGAAACAAATTAATACTAATGTACAACAAGATGATTATATTATATATTTTAATGATGGAAAATGTCAAAATGAAAATATTGTTGGTGGGAAAGGATTTTCACTTGGAGTATTAACTTCTGTAAGAAATGCAGATGTGAGTTATAATACAGATTTTATTGTTTCATCTTAATTTCTTAAATCATTCTAACATGAAACAATCTTCCTAGTTTATTGTACCAAAAGGATTTTGTGTAACTGTTTTTGCATTTGAATTGCAATTACAAACACATAAAGAATTACAAAAAGTAATTGACAATGTTGAGAATATTTGTGCTGGAAGAAAAGATGGTGACCTTCAAAAATATTGCAATGAGTGATTTATCTGACTTAATACAATTATAACATATGGAATATTTTATTGCTACATAAATAATATTTAATTTTTTGCTGTTTTCAGAGCTATGCGCATAATCAAGTCGACTCCAATTATCGAAAAAGTAAAATATATAATTATAAAAGCAATAGAAAACTTGGAGTTAGAAGATGATAATGATAAACCATCTAGATATGCAATAAGATCTAGTGCTGTAGGTGAAGACAGTGAAGAAACTTCAGCTGCTGGTCAAAATTCAACTTATTTAGGTATCCAAGGTAAAACCAATGTTATCAAGAGTATAGCTATGTGTTGGGCAAGTTTGTTTTCATATCAGAGTGTCAACTACAGGTAACATGATAATTTAGTTAGCTTTTCCATAACATTCGTGATAGTAACATCAAGTAATTCATATCTCTTAGAAAGCAACATGGTATGACTATAAAAGCATCTATGGGAGTGTGCGTACAAAAGATGGTAAACGCTGATGCCGCTGGTGTTATGTTCACTAGACATCCAACTACTGGAGATCCATCAAATATTCTCATAACTGCTAATTATGGATTAGGAGAAGTACAATTAAATAATCATACAATCATTAATTATACAAATGATTAAATAAATAAGAAATTAATAGACTTTTTTTGTTTAGTCCGTTGTGTCAGCAGTAGTCGAACCAGATACAATAATTATTCATAAAAGATGGAATAATAAATTAACTATACGAAGTTTAGTAACGGGAAATAAAAGACAAAAGATTCTAGTGAGTGATAATGGAGTGGTTACAGTTGACCTCGATAATGAAGAAAATGAGACAATTTGTTTGTCAGAAGAAATTGCTCTACGATTAGCTAATATAGGTGTCAATTTAGAAACTTTGTTTGGAAGCGCCAGAGATATAGAATGGGCAGTAATGAATGAAACTATTTATTTACTTCAAGCTCGACCTATTACCACTTTATACACGTGGTCAGATTTTGAGTTAACACACGAATTGGATTCAGGTGTTCCTAGCGATATCGATATGCTTACATTCGCTAATGTAGGTGAAATATTTCCATATCCATTATCACCTTTATCAATTTCTGTAATTGCAGAAACATTTAATACATCAGTATCTACTGAATTTCACACTCAGGATAATATTTTCTTTCATATTGTTGGTATGAAATGCACTTTAAACTATTATAATGTAAGTAAAATTTTTGAAGTAAGAACTTAAAAAGAAGAAGAATATATATCTAAAAAGTAGTTCTTTATCATGGCAGTTATTTTTACGACAACATAGTAAAGAAATAACGCTTTCGAATAAAGTCACGGATCTTGCTATTTCTGGAAGTATTATACTAACACCAGAGATTCATAAAGTTATTTGTGAAAGAAATGGTGAACCTGTTCCTCTAGCAAAAATTTTAGTATTTTATAAACTAATAAAGAATGCAATTATGAATAGTACAGTAGAAAAAAATGCTAAAAAAATTCGTCAAAATTTAACTTTGAATGGAGAAGATTTTCATAGTGCACATAATTTATACAATGAAATTAATCAACGTTATGAAGAATATAGAAATGTAAGTACAAGTACATCAAATATTGCAAGAACTTTCATAAATTGTTTAACTATATAAAATTTTGTAGGTAGCAGAATGTCATATGCATACTACAAGAGTCAGTATCTTTTATCAAATTTTTGCATTAGGATTATTAACAAATGGTTACAGTGACATTGTACCCGAGCATTTTTCAGATATTTCCATTTTGTTAGGTTCTTGCAATGATATTGTTAGTGCTGATATGTTAAAAGGACTTGATAAAATAATAAGTTGCATTAAAAAGTGTGGAAAAGATGAAGAATTTAAAAAAGTAGACTGCGATAAAGCAATTAATTGGTTAACAGCTAATTGCCCACAAGCTGCAAAAGAATTGAATAAATTTCTAGAGAAACATGGATTCAGATGCATTCAAGAGCTAGATTTTATATCAGAACCATGGTCTCTTAGGCCTGAAAATCTTATTAAAACACTTCAGGTAAATTACATTATTTGAATGTGTAGAACGAATATATTATAAAGGGATAAATTATTTTACTAGACCATGATAACAGCTCCAGAAGCAAAAAATTCAAGTAAGACATTTGATGCAGAACAAATAGTGGGGCTCTTAAAAACACCAAAAACGGCAATAACGAAATGGATTTTGAAAAAACTAGTACCTTTTTGTAGGAAAGCCGTTGTGCGTCGAGAAATGACTAAAGCAATATTTGCATATATCACACATACATTTCGACTAGCTTACAGAAGACTAGGAAAATTAATGGTTTTAGAGAGTTATTTACCAAGTGAAGATTTAATATTTTTTTTAACGAATGAAGAAATAGCAATGCTACTAAATCACCATGATAGAACATTAATACAAAAGTAATTAAATTGTTAATTAAAACCTCGTTTCTTTTTTCTCAATTACTACATTAATTTTTTCTTTTACTTTCTTTTTAGAGCATTTCGTAGGAAGAAAATTTTTCCTTTACTAAAAAATATAGAATATCCAGAAGTTAATATTGGAATGCCAATTCCTGTGAAGGTAGGTTGATATGTTTCTTTTCATAAGAATGCTATTTATTCATAAAACAATATTTTTGTATTACAGAATGATTTAAATGTGATAATTGATAATAAATCTGCAAAGATTCAAGGAACACCAGTATGTGGAGGCTCTATTGTTAATAGAGCATGTGTAATCACAGATTTATCAGATGCAGAGAAACTACAACCAGGTGACATTTTAATTACTCATTCTACCGATATTGCTTGGAGTCCATATTTCCCATTACTGAGCGGTATAGTCACAGAATTGGGAGGACTTATAAGTCATGGAGCTGTAATAGCTAGAGAATATGGCCTCCCATGCATAGTTAGTGCTAAGAAAGCTACACAAGTTTTTCAAACAGGTAACATATTGTTGTTTTTAAACTGAACAATAAATAAATAAATAAATACTCAAAATACATTTTTAGGGGACACTGTACTATTATCAGCAGATATGGGAGTTTTGCAGTTGGTCAAGAAACACGATTAAAGGGGTTATAATTTTTCTTATTTCTTTTTTTGTCACGTGTATTTGTATAATTCAATGATTGAAGGTGAAATTTGTTTGATTTATTCACATTAATAACAATGAATGTGCAAGCTGGAATAAAAATATCTATTGTAACAATATAAATAATAATAATAGTAATAATAAAAAACGAAAGAAAAGATCATCAACCAATATAAGAAATACTTACTTAGATCCTTAAGTTATTATCAAAGCTATACAGTAGTAACGCGATTGGGATCGGCAATCAATATAGGAGTATTATTTGTTGCATCATTGGCAAGACATAAAAGTTGTAAATGCATAGATGTTGCTACTTTCGATAACAGCATGTCGATTCGCATACAGTCTTCTTTGTTAACAGGTTGTGGTATTGCATCTAGTGCTTCTTCAAAAAAGTTCCTACAAATAAAAAATTAAATACAATATTAATATTCTCTTTATTTGTATAACTATAAAAAAAAAAAAAAAAAATAAGGGATTATTACTTTGCCCTCGTAGTACTATAAAATTCTAAAGCATTACGCAAAAGTATGATGTCAGTACGTGCTTGTACAATTCCGGCTGGTCGAAATTGAGTAACACATGACATAAGCCTTGCAAGTTCTTCTGCTACAGTCTCAACTATGTGAGATAACACTCGTTGTAACAAAGCTGGTGCGACACGTCGCACCTGTTGAAAAACATTATAATAACAAAAATTATGTTTAAAATTTAAGAATTATTTATAAATGAAATAGAAAATGATAGATACCTCAGCGTGAACTGCAATTAAATTTGCTAAAATTTCTTGTGCGTATGGTCTCACATGAGTAGGTTCAATTTCAAAATCCCATTCTAAACCACCCAGATACATGCTCGGTTCGATTGTACCCACCAGTGGATCGCAGCGACGTTCCAAATATGCATCTAGAACAGCCGTATCCAGTGTACCCAATTGCGTCCAATCTGAGTTCCATCCAATCGCATTCGACAAACTCGGATAATCCTGATCCTTTAATACATCTCCAATTCTTGGTAGGATCGTGTTCAGTGTATAACGAATATTACTTAATGAGATTAAGAGGCATTGTTCCCACGTCTGATAAAAAATTCAGAAGTAATGCTAAAATATAGCACTGACTTCAAAGAATGCTACAAATGTTTTTCTTATAATGAGTTATTTAAATAGATATAGACAGATTATTTGCTCCGAAATAAATGAACTTCTCTATAAACATATCACTCTGTAAATATGCTGTAAAACTTACTGGGCCTTGATGTTTGATGCTCTTGCTTTTATAGCCAGAAGGAGAACCAACTAATTGAGACACGGAAGGTTCGTCATCATCTAAAGCTTCCTCGCAACCACTAAATGCCAACTGCTGTAGACATCGTGTGAACGATGTAAACAATGTCTTGACAGAGTTATAATATAAAAGCTGATGAGCAGAATTGGCAAACAATGGTCCTTCTCGAGGACCACAAGCAACTACTGTATCTCGTGCCCGTTTTGATACTTCCATAACCATTTCTTCAAACAAGTATGGCTAAATATATATTAAAAATAGAAATGAATAACTATTGGAACAGTATGCATATGTATAATTTTTATAAACAAGATTCAATTATTACCACTTTCGTAACGCCACCGTCTTCATTCAAATATTCTATTTGCCATGTTTCCTTTTTATGTAAAGCTGCTATGTTTTCTGCAGTTTGTTTAAAAAGAGTACTAAAGCACTGTAATCTGATTTGAAAAAACCTTTAGTATATTATATGACAAAAATAAAAAAATATAATAATATTTTGTACCTCAAATCAAGTATAAGTTTTCCAAAAATATCTAATGCATCACTTGGTAAATCCAAATGAATCAATGAAGCGTACATTTGCCTAATTCTACGCAAAATATGTAAAAGCCAAACAGCATCCAAATCATTGCTACATATATTTCTCATAGCTTCCATGGCATGTTGCATGCTTGATAGTACCAGATTCTATACCAAAATAATATTTTGATAAAAGTTGCATTTTTTTAACAATATCCATTTAACAAATATTTAATATACCTTAAAAGGTGTTTGTTTTTCCGCGTCCACTGCAACATGTAACTGTCCAGTAAAATAGCTTTGACCTAATCTCCACAAGTCTGGCAGTTGTTCAACTATTATATCACAAATTGTTTCAATACATGATATTTGTGAAGGAATATTAATTCCATCATCTTTGTGTAATTTTGATTTATTGCTCAATACTGGTTTCGTTTTGTTTACATCTTCACCAACTGTATTGTCAATTTCTAATTGTTCTCGTATACAAATGGTGATACTTTTCTTCAAGTAATTTGAATGTGAAACTGGCGAAAGTAATCATTAGCTTTAGTGAACATAATATTATACAGAATATTATAGAAAAATACCTATTGCTTCCCAAGCTGGATCCCCTTCAGCTTCCAAATTAACAAGATTTCTAATTATCTTTTTATGTTCTTCTAAACTGAAGGGCATTTCTTCAAGTTTATTTTTTAGATGTGCTTTCAACATTATAATTCTATTATCAATTTCCTGTAGCACCTTTTTAAAAACTTCAATTTCCGTATTCTTAAATAAATTTTTTACTCTTGTGTAATCATTAATCACAAGATCATAATTACCGCGTTTTATATTCTTTTCTATATTAATTGGCATACAAAAAAGGAACTTGTATCTTTGCATTACAGATAATGCATTTCTTGTTGCATCTGCTCTATCTCTTCTCGCTAATACATCATCAAATAATTTATTAGCCTCTGACATGGACTGTCGAATAGCTTTTTCTAATTTTTCAGTAGGATCATTTCCATATGTTTTTATATCTGTCTCAAACTGTTCTTTTAATAATATGACTGTGTCTAATTGTTCCATTACTGATCCCACATTAGCCTAAAAAAGAATATATAAAGAAATATGAAGTGAAGAAATATATATCTATCTTGTGATTTCTTAATGTAACAATTACCTTTAAAAATGACAATTGACCTTCCTTTTGAGAATTAACTTTTCTTTTAAGATATGCTAAACCAGCTTTTAAGTCCTCAAAAGTAGTAGCATGGTGATGTTGCAATAAAAACCAACCAGGATGAAATTTTTCACTGGTAAGATCTCCACTACCTTCTCCAAAAAGTTCTATTAATTCATCTTCAGGATACTTCTTACTACAAAAGCATGTATTAAAGAATTTTTGTTCATTTTTAAAAAAATTAAGGTAAACATACTCATTGCCTTCTACACTTAAACCTAAAGGGTCTTCTTGCTGATAATTTGTTGGAGAAAGTGTTCTTCTTCCCCATACAAAACTCTGCATAGGAGCTTCTTCTACCCATACTGCAGATTCTTTCATAGGACCTATAGTTTCATGATAACCACGGAATTGTACTGTTGATGTCCCTGGTCCTCCACTGCGTGTAGTTACTATAATATCACCTCGACCTTTACAAGGTCCTGATCTGGCAATGATTTTGTTGGTGGATTTCCATTCAGCTGATAAAAGGCAATCACACCCACATATCGTTAGTCCTAGATGTATTAAAGGCTCCGTTAGTAAAAGAATTGTTTTTATAAAAAAAGAAATATTGTGAAATGACTTAAGAAGTGAAAATAACCTATAAGATCTTGCACTTTGTTACCCAAAAATTCACCGCGAACTATTACGCGGGTTCCTGGAGGTCCTTCCTTAGGAGATATACCTGTTACCACTGGTGGTGGACCCATCTTTTTAATTATATTGTAAAATAAAATTCTTACTATCTTTGCACAAATAAATATTGATCGTACATAATTTTAACCTTAATAATCGAATAGATTTAAAATCCTACTTTCAACACAATAGACAATCACTATCATTTCTTTTAATTTATAAATTTTTTTATATTACGTTTGCTACATTAATTAGTGACAAAACGAGTAAATTAGAAGAGATAATGATCTTTGTTACATCAAATGACAATCTAAAAGTCAGTGACAGATGTGCCTATTGATGCAATAGAGTGGGAGGTGACAAATTTAATGTAATACATCAAAACGGAATATAGATTTATGATACAATCATATACCTTAGTGTTAAAAATTTTTTTAAATAATTTTGAATTAATTTAATCAATAAAAAAATATTAAATTATACATAAGACGATTTTAATTAACATATATTTTAGCTAGTTATTTATAAGTATTTACATTGTTACGAAAAACAATCATTTAATTATCTTTATAAATTTTTATGTTCATTTTCATTGAACAATTTAAAGTCTTTTAAATTGCCCTCTTTGCTTAGATAAAATTATTTAAAAATTGTCATTTAAATTTAAAAACGTCATAAACAGTTTACTGCTTTTATATAATTATCATCGAAATTATGCGTAGTTATTTATAATGGGATAATATAAAATATAAAAAAAAAAACTTATTTATGTTTTTCTTTGAGAGGAAAATATATGCACATGTTTAAATAAAAAATGTGTGCGTTCGTGCGTACATGCGTGTGATTTTGTGCGTGTATTTACGTATGCATATGTGTGTGCATATGTACAAATATATAATAAATCATAATAAACAAAGGGTTTTGCGCATGCTTGTCCTGAAGGATAGAATGTATAGAAAGGTCATAATGATATCAATACTTCTACTGATGACTTAAGGTTGACTGAAAGTAGACAGGTATTATTCCATGAAAATTCTTCTTTATTTGTGATCGATTGATGCGCCATCTTCGGAATATGAAGAGGCAATGCTAGTAGTGCGCATTAGTGTGTCTGCCGATCACAGAGTATAGTTGAGTTTACCTGCCAAACGTGTATCTATGATTGCTCAAGTTTGTATACTCGTGCCATCCTTACTGTTGTATTTCGCCAATTTTTGTGGAATATTGTATCTGGACGAAAACACAAAGTATCAGAATAGTGTATACAAGTGCGCATTAAAAAAGGAATTATGGGGGACGCAGCGATGAACGTCGCAGCGTCCGGTGGCGGCGGTCAGCGTGTCGTTAAGGAAGGCTGGCTGCAAAAACGCGGTACTACAGAGCAGTTTCATAATATTTGTGTTTACTTCTTTGCTGCATTTCAAGCGGACAGAGTACAGACTTGAGCAACATTTTTCCATTTTTTCACATGATCTTTTTGATTCTTATACTCTTCTTTTTAAGAAAATGTCAAGATTATATCGAATAAAGCATTTTTTACGAAAATTTTAGAAAGTACTTGTAAAAATTAGATTCTTCATTCCATTTTTCGCCATTACATATTAAATAAATACTATTTACCACTTTTATCAAAAATAAACAGTGTGTTCTCGATATTGTCAGAAATAATTATTTAAATATATTTCATTTCTTACATATAGGAGAACATATAAAAAATTGGAGGTCAAGATATTTCGTTTTACGAGATGATGGTACATTAGTTGGATTCAAAGCTAAGCCAGATCAACAAATGGCAGCTGCAGCACAACCATTGAACAATTTTACTGTTCGTGGTTGTCAAATTATGTCTGTAGATAGACCTAAACCTTATACTTTTGTTATAAGAGGTTTACAATGGGCTGCTGTGATAGAAAGGACGTTCCATGTAGAAACAGAACAAGAAAGGGAAGATTGGGTGGCAGCAATCAGGTTTGATTTTATAAATATTAAAGAATTAAAGTACTTAATAAGTTTAAAGTTATTTTAAACATTTTCTTTTTATTACTTTTACTTTTTTTATAGATATGTAGCTGCTAGATTAGCAAGTGAAAAACAAACTCAACAGCAAATGCAACATTCATCTTCATCTGAAGATGTTGATATGGAGTCTTCTGGAGGTGGTAGATCAGACTCTGGTGTAGTGTCTTCGGATGTGGATGGTGGCAGTATTGATGAATTATCTGCGAAATTTAGTGTTCAAGGAACATCAAGTAGTAAAAGTACAGGGAAAAAAAAAGTAGTATGTACATACCAAATATTATTTTTTGTCAATTTAAACTTAGACGTTTTATTTAATAACTTATTTAATAATATACATTTTTAATTTTTTATTTCAGACTCTTGAAAATTTTGAATTTCTAAAAGTCTTGGGAAAGGGTACATTTGGGAAAGTAATTCTGTGTAGAGAAAAGGCAACAGGCCATTTATATGCTATCAAAATATTACGAAAAGAAATTATTATTCGTAAAGATGAAGTTGCGCACACACTTACTGAAAATAGAGTATTGCGAACTACAAATCACCCGTTCCTGATTGTATGTATCTCATGTATTATTATATTGTTTTTCATATATGCATAATATTAACTTACATTTGATACTTTTTAATTTACAGTCTTTAAAATATAGTTTTCAAACAGCAGAGAGGCTATGCTTTGTAATGGAGTATGTTAATGGTGGAGAGTTGTTCTTTCATTTAAAACGTATTCGTGTATTTGGCGAGGATCGTACTCGATTTTATGGCGCTGAAATAATTTCAGCTTTAGGCTACCTTCATTCGCAGGGTATCATTTATCGTGATATCAAATTAGAGAATCTTCTCTTAGATAAAGATGGACATATTAAAATAGCTGATTTTGGATTGTGCAAAGAAGATATAACGTATGGTAAATATTTTGTATATATCTTGATATAAATTTTTTTATTTAAAAATTATGAGAAATGCCAATAACATTTCTAATACTCAGGAAGAACGACAAAAACATTCTGTGGAACTCCTGAATATCTTGCACCAGAAGTGTTAGAAGATAATGATTATGGACGAGCCGTAGATTGGTGGGGAGTTGGTGTTGTTATGTACGAAATGATCTGTGGTCGATTACCTTTTTATAATAAGGACCATGAAAAGCTTTTTACGCTTATTGTAATGGAGGAAGTAAGATTTCCTAGAACAATCAGTAATGAAGCAAAAGACATGCTTGGAGGTAAGTAGATGCTAAATAAAATAAAACATCTCATAAAATCTCTCAATTTTTATTTAATTTATAATTTCTTTTAAGGTTTACTTATAAAAGATCCAAGCAAAAGATTAGGTGGTGGACCTAATGATGCAAAAGAAATCATGGATCATGCATTCTTTTCGTCAATTGATTGGTCAGATCTTGTACAGAAAAAAATTCCTCCCCCTTTTAAACCTCAAGTAACGTCTGATACAGACACTCGATATTTTGATAGCGAATTTACGGGTGAAAGTGTTGAACTTACGCCGCCTGATCAAGGATTTTTAGGTAGTGGGACAGGTTTGAATTCAATAGCTGAAGAACAAGAGCATTTTCCTCAATTTTCCTATCAGGAAAGTCACTCAGCAGCAACCTCTTCCATCGTTTCTATTAATCACTGACAGTATCAAGTGTCCTCTTTGTTTACATATTGAGATGTATGGTTAAATGCATGAAAGAGCCAGAGACCTTCGATTACGACGAATATTTGCAGTTTGTCCACTAATTTGGAGGAATTTTTTTAACGCAGATAAATCGAAATATCAGTTATTTTCGCTAATTTATGATGCTTTTTTGTGCATCTTTAAAAGGTTTTAACACATATCTCCAATGGCAGATTCGCGTGTATGCGTGTATGTGCGTATACATGCACATACTCATTGAAATTGTACATGAAAAAGTTATGTACTATAAGATCCAATTAAATTAATATTTATACCTGCTGAGTAGGTCCGTGGTGATATAATGGGGGATCGAATGTTTGTTTGAAACAGAAGCAGAATGAGGAAGATAAAAATTAAGCGTATCCCCTAAACTGTGTTACGTTGTGAAAAATGGCATGTTTCTTCTATGTGGAAGAACGATATTTAATAATCGTAGCTACAGTTTTTTTAAGTTTTTTTCCTTTTTTTTTTTTTTTTTTTTTTTTTTTTTTTTTTT